ACAGCACCGGCCAGAGGCATTCTCACCTCCAGGCCCTCAAAACGACAACTCCTTTTCAGCCCTTTATCGAGTCTTCAATCAGATCAGCTGTAGGATGATGAAACCTACTGTGAAGCTGGCGGCGAACCCAGGAAGAAGACAGCAGCAAGAAAAAAGAACACGAGACCTTAATGCTCTGATACCATGTGAATAAACCCTAGTTGTTTCTAGGTTAAAGTAGAGAAGAAGAAAGAAGAAGAAAGAAAAGAGAAAGAAGAAGAAGCAGAGGAGAAGAGTGTTCGGCCAGACTAGAAGAGAGAATGTTCAAAAGTCACTCTCTTAGCCGACGCACTTGACTTTTATTCATAAAACTTAAGTTACTGGAAAGACAATTTTGTCCCTCATAGAAGATGGGACACATAACTTAAACTCAGATAGAATAGACATTTCACTTTCAATAAGATACACCAGAATGACCAAAATACCCCTGACTGAGCATTCTAACAGTAGAGAATGCAATTATCTTTAGCTGTGTCACCCTCAAATAATGCACTTTAGCCGTGTCACCCTCAAATAATGCACTTTGGGCAAGCTCCTGAACCATGAGCAGGTCCAACCACCACAAGGTTTCAAGGAAATGAAAAAAGAATAGAAGAGCAAAACCAGGGGAAAAACCTCCTAGCTTGACTAGGTGCAAGGAACCCACCTTAGCATCACTATATTAAAGGTTCCAAGTTGTGAAGAACCACCCTCAAATCTTCAACCTGAATAAGAAGAAAATAACGTTCATTCTTACCCAAGGATTATGAATCTATCATAAAACGTCTACAAAATGGATAGTCCCAGTCGTAAGAAATGACATAAAAATTACAACATAATCTGCACAACTTATCAGACCAATAAGCAGGAGACCAACAGAAAGGGGAAAATGCAGACCTGCAATAGTTCCTTGTTAACAAATGGATTTGCTTTCTTATACATACCCGTATCAGCCTCTTTCTCTTTGCTTTTCAATTCAGATTTGTTCTCCATCTCAGAAGTTTTTTTTTTTTTTTATCAGTTTTCAATCTCACCCTCAGATTCCCCTGCTTCATGTTTTTTATCATCTAAGTCCTCTGGTTTAACCTGTGCATCATCCTGTCTGTCTTCATTTCCAGCCTACAGAAGTTAAAAAGTAGGAGATGTACAAGATTGGTTAGAAAACACAATAAAGAAGACAATAACATAAACCAAATTCCCTCCAATGTCGTAGTGATCAGTAATCCAACTTTGCATAACAGTGAGGCCAAGACATCAAGGTAGCATTTCCACATTGTAGTGACAGTCCATTGCACTGGTATATCCTCAAGATTCTGAGCAAAGTTGAGGGTTGTTGCCCATTTATGGAATACATATTAAAACTGTTCATAGACTATGGATGTTAACAGAAAGTACCATAAGTTAGATGGACTAGTACTTGTGGCACTTGAAAAATACCTTGTACCTTCATCTAGAGATGCTGTCGACACATAGATCCCTAATGACGATTTTACCACAAATGAGAATATGTACTGTAAGACTTAAAAAATCGTAAATGAAGTATAAGTCCATTTGTAGTCAGACCAGATACAATTTTACCTGACCAATGTGTCCACAAATCTCAGGGTGTTGTGAAGTCCAAAGAACCTTGCTCAGATTGTATGACAGAGCAACACAAAATGACAAGGATCAAGAAAATGATTATAAAAGTGGAGGCATACATAAATTGCATATAAAAGAAAAAGAAAGGAAGAACTACATCTTCATACCTGATGATGAGAACCAAGGCCAATAGAGTCTGCATATTGCCTACTAGGTTGACTTTGCAACTCCTGCCCCATATAAGCAGTCTGCTCACTGTATTGTCGTCTCTCTAGTGAACCATAATCAGAAATCTTCCCTGAGGACAACTGATCTCCCTTGAGACCAAGGTTCAAAATATCAAAACACCTGATACGCATCTTGTTTCAGGTGAATAAAAACGTTTTTTTTTTTGTTTTTTTTTACAGGGACATGGTTTTATTGCTATTTAACATTTAATAACACCCCTTTTTGGAAAAAGCCTTAAAAAAGGCATATCGATGGCCACTGATACAATACGACATACCCAATACAGAGCGTGTCGTGTCAAAATTTTGAACTTTTCTTGAGACCATATCCATGGATTGATGATGATACATAGTCAGGCATTAATTGCCATGACCTTGAGGGGCAGAAGAACTTCCTACTATGTCACTCATTGCAGCAACCTGTAAAAGCAGGCCTACCACTTAGTAAGATTAAAGGTGCATTGAACAGTATATTTTATCGAGTACAAACATAAAAGATGATCCTACAGATAATTCAAAAACAAAACAACATATTATAACAACACAAATAATGCATTTCCCAAAGCAGCAAACGGAAAAATAAAACCATAATGTCCAGAGGTGTAAGGATGTTTTTACCTTTTTCTGTTTTTGCATCATTGTATATGCATGTTGTATTAAATGCTTCTGTTTTTTGTAAAGTATAATTGCACAATGAAAAACAAATAGCATGTTGAACCATGCTGTATTATATGCTTATGCTTTTCCATATATGACAAAAGAAACCTAGTATTTATTACAGGCAGAGTATTCAGCGACTAAAGTACAAATGGAAAATCTACAACTAAGAAAAAGTTAATGAGATGAAATAAACTAGACAGTGCTTAGTACTTGAATAAAGACCATAGAGAAAGAAAATTAAATGATTTTGAATCTAATGAGATACAAACCCCAATTGGAAGTGAAACCAAAAGCACACCTGTTGACTACAGTTTAAAGCAGATGAGCCATAAATAGCCCCAATCTTAGCTTATGCTTTTTTTTCGAGGAAGTTAACTATGGTTATATTAACAAAAAGCAATATGTTCATGGGGGATGTGCATGGCACAAAAAAGCGCCCCACACCCCCCCCCCCAAAAAAAAAAAAAAAAAAAAGTATATATGTGGTATTCTGCCATTTCCCAGTATGACCATACAAAGAAGAAATAGATAACCAGTATATATATGGTATCTCCAAACAATCCTAAACAACCATAGAACCATTTATTTTACGACTATAACTACTTAGTATAATATACCAGTTTTACATTCCTTTCCTATTCTAGTACAGCATTTTAAGGTTTACCTGTTTCATCCCTCCCCTTCTAATAGGCAAACCTTCTATGCATCAATTCCTGTTTATGTAATATAATTCTCTTTTTATTCTGTAATACTTATCAACAAAAATAGGGGAGGGAGAGCTTTCCTCCGCTGTACAAGGATTTCTAAACTGTATAAATAGTAACATTCTGTAAAGTTCAATCTACCAAAAGACTAAATACGGAGACTTAGCTGCTGAAGGTTGGGTTGAAAACTAGATAAACCCAATTGTCTCTAGCTTGGTTGAAAGAGATGCCCTTTAGGTCCTTCAAAATGGAAGCCCAGTGATTAAGAGTTCTTTCAGCTTTAGCCTTGATTGCTTCCACAAAAGTGGATTGCCCCTAAAAAATCCTTTTATTCCTCACCTTCCAAACCATCCAGTAAATAGCAAAAGTGGATATCTTCCACAAAATATTCCCTCTTTTGCAGAGTCTTGATGCAGGCCAAGAAGAAAACAGATCAGTCAGATTACTAGGCATCACCCAAGCAGTGCAGAACAGTTGAAGGAAATGTACCCAAATGTTATAAGTCACAGGGCAGTGCAGCAATAATAATGATTTGAAGATTCTTCTTCTAAACTGCAAAGACAGCATTTGTTTTGTAAGTTCGTGCCCATCTGTAGCAATCTGTCAATCGTTTAGATTTTTTTCTAAGATTGTCCAAAGGAAGAATTGTACTTTAGATGGACCAGGAGCCCTCCAAATCCAACCCCAGGAAATAGGATCATCCCTGGACATTGGACCTTTACAAAACTTCATAGAAAGATTTCACTGTGAAAATTCCTGATTTGGATATGGTCCAGATCCTTCTGTCCCTACTGCTCGGATTTAACCCTCTCTGACTCAGTTCCTCTAGCAGTGTCAGCAATGTATCCGCTTCCCAATCAAACACACTGCACCCAGGGGAGGGCAACCAAGCTACCTTGCCGCTGGTGAAGTCATAACAATCCAAAATAGTTGCTTCTTTATTGGCTGCCTGACTAAAGATGGAAGGGTAAGTCTAACATAGAGGTCTATTTCCACATCATAGTTGTCAAGGCAATGCCTACACAGGTGCCTTGGGAACTTTTATATTCTTAACTTTTTGAGATTATAATAATAAATAAAGACATTATTAAACTAAATTATTTAGCTTAAGTTAAAATGCTAGTGTCTTTTTATTATTTTTTTCATTTGTTAGGGTTCAATCAACATGTTATTGCCTTGAAACTGATAATGGAAGAACTTGGACCCTTGAAGACTTCAAAACTTCATTTTCTTTTCTTCTTTTCCTAGGAAAAAAAATAGAGGCTCAACCCCTCTATTTTTTGAAATTTCTTTTCTTCCATTTTTTCATGAATGTTGATTTTCTATGTTTCAAATACAGCTTATACATTTTTATGAAAATTACAGACAATTAATAGTGAAAGATGGTTGTTGATTGCTATGGAACCTAAGGAATTGCTGTAGAACTCATGGTTTTTATTCAAAAAAGAAAAACCATCACTTAGGTGATTAGGTGACAATTTATAGTAAAAGATGGGTTTATTAAAAACAAAACAAAAATTTCACCTAGCCTTGCCTTGATGCCTTGAAAACTATGCTTCTAGTGTCCACTCCCTTACCTTGACAACCAAGAAATAAAAAGATAGCTTAACATGTGGAGCAATGGCTTCACATGGTCACAACACTTTCTTTTGACCCTCCAATAAAACACGACATGCTATCAACCAAATGAAAACCGAATCTCCCAGTGAGAGCTTGCCTGGGTGATTTGGTTTCAATGTGTTCACATGGTCACAACACTTGCAATCCTCTAATAAAACACAGGCATGCTATAATTCAAATGAAAAAACAAATTATCCAGGTAGTGCATCCAGTTGTTTCTACCCCAAAAATCACACCAACAATCCATTAACATATGAAAAAACAGAGATTGCCTCTAGGATTTACTATCTTACTATGATTTAGAAATATCAAGATAGCCTAACATGTTTGTTTGTTTTTTTTTTTTTGAAAGGTAAGGTAGTTTTATTGAGAATGAAACAAGTACAATAGAAATCTGTCCATACAAGGACAGACCAGACCTCAACACCAACTACAGACACCAAATATACTGAGTCCTAAGAAACTGAGATACATTCATATGCTTGAAATCTGGACTGACAGCTACCCAGGAGAACAGTTTACTGACTGCATTCTGCACTATCTCATCTGGACTTTTCAAATTATTACAGAAAATTCTGTTATTTCTTTCAGTCCAAATGGACCAAAGGACAGCAGCAGGGATAGCTATCCACACCAGCTTTCCATTTTTCTTCAAACCCCTGATCTTCCAGCAACATAATAAATTGTTGACAGAATTCGGCATCACCCAGCAAATCCCCACAGCACTTAGAAAGTGATCCCACACCTGGGCAGTGGAGACAGACGTTCTATAGACTCAGGCTGCAACCCACAAGGGCCACAAGAAGCATCTGAGAGCTGCATTCCTCTTCTTTCTAGATTGGCTCTAGACAGGCACTTATTTAGGGCCATGGTCCAGACTAGGAAATTGACTTTGGAGTGGCTGATTGGGTTCCAAATCTGCTTGCTTGGAAAATTTACTGCACCTGAACTGTTGAGCTTGAGGACCATTGATTTGACTGAAAAGCACCCGTCACCACTCCACTTTCATCTCCACTCATCTTCCAGATGGATGTCAATGTTCTGATCTTGAAGAGTTTCCAGCAGTCCCAAAATCTCTTCCAATTCCCAATCAAACAGCCCCAAGATAGCGGGGACTATATTCTACACCAACAATGTGATTAATCCAATTCCCAATCAAACAGCCCCAGCAGTCCCAAAATCTCTTCCAATTCCTAGCCTC